ATGGAGACTGAAAAGACATCACTTACCAGCTACGAGATACAACACAATCGAGAATGACTTTCATTGAATGAAGCACTTCACAGCCAAGCAAGGTAGGACACCTAATGACACGTGTGCCAATCCACTTTAATAAATAGATATGACCCTACAAGCGCGGGGTGATCTATAGTGAACTGCCAAAATGAAATGAACTTAACAAGGCATGTGCCAACATCAAACGCAAATGCAACAAGTGTTTGAAATACAGTGTTCAACCAATAATGTATGAAACAGTTACAAAGTATCATCCAGACAAAATGTTCCACAACAACAAGTTTGATATACAGTATATATATATATATATTTATACGGTATATATATATATAGATATTCATGTATATCTAAAAAACTTTTACGTATATACATTAACAAGATGGTGCAATTTTCTTATCAGGAAACTGGACATAGACTGCTCCGAATAAAACAACAAAGGTGTACTGTAGTTTCAGTACATGTAACAGTGTAACAGTATTTCAAGCGGATGATACCTTGAATATTGACTAGATCGTCAAGCACAGGACTACAAAAGTTAATAATGCAACATATAATGATATTGATTTAACTGAAGGTCTATGATGAGAATCACACGTCCCACTACACAATCATCAAGAGCGTAAGTCGGCGTAAGTAGACCACTTAACCATCAAAAAGGATAATGACAGCAACTCCAACTCATAAAAGCGTACACCCTTATGACTACATGAATTCAAGTCAACCAATCCAAACAAGTTTTGACAGGCAATTGTATGAAGAAAACATTATTGACAAATATTATGTCAGGGCAAGTGTTGTATGGAAAATCTAATGTCAAAAACATTGGTGAGTATCATGATTTATACTTGAAGATTGATGTCTACCTCGTAACTGATGTTTTTTTTTGGGGGGGAATATGTGTTTAAACTGTTATGGTCCAGCCCCTGCCTTTAGCACGTGTGATACTTGATTCAGAGAGGCTTGAGAGATGGAATGACAATGTTTTTATGACGAAGTGAAAGCAAATAATGAATGCATGAATGAACATTACGATAAATTAATTTAATGCCATCAATACACAGCTTTTTGATTGCTAGCAACCTACCACATACAGTTTAGCAATGCTTAATAATGTTTACTTACAAGATGATTTGGAACTAGATCCATAAGGTTCAATCAGGCAAAGTTCGTAAAGCCATTCATTGAATTCAAGACTGAAAAACAATAACAAACCAAACTAAACACACACATATATATATATCGAACAAGATTTGTTCACATTGATGAACAACAACAGCGTTCATGGTATAACAATGGAACATGAATTCACTTAGACTTAGACTTGGTAAATATCCACCGGAGCGCTTCCAAAAGTTGATGAACAGACCAAAAACACATACATATTTTTTCATAAATAAAGATTTGTCAGGTGTATAAAGAGAAAAACACACTGTAGAATGGAACAAGCCTATAAAATATATACATATTCATACATATCCATATATGCAGCTATATATGTGTGTGGAAATGTTAACTTTAGGCTATTCAATCATGTGAAGGATTCTTCTCACTATGAGGTCCTGAAGCCTAAATATAAAAGAAGTAGTAAGCTTCAACAGACATTGACAATTGGAGAACAAAGTTGAAATCCGATTTGTATAGAGGCTTCAATGAAATTAGACACTACACTGGCCAGAAGAAAGTTGCGCTTCTTGATGTTGAAACTCATGACAACCCTATCCCC